AACAGAGCACGAAGAGATGCTGAGGGCATCTTTGACTCTCTGAAAGACACAGAGAGAGAAGTTGATCTCCAAAAAAGGGAGATCGAATTACTGAAACGCGAGCTCAGAGAGGCACGCGCACTGGCAGACCTCGCTGCCAAACCCATCATGATGGGGGCCTCCCAGGTCAGGGGGAGGGGATACGGTTCCGGGCCTCATGAGGCGCGACCCCACATGGGGACTAGCGCATCAAGGGGTGGGGCACCGACTATCCCGCCACCCCGTGGGCAGGTGACCCTGTCCGGGTTGCATAAGGGCCCGCCCTCAGAGGGGCAAACCCATGTCAAGGGGAAGAGGGAGAGCGGTAGGCAACCGACGGCAGACCCTAAAACGGGGACCACTGCCAGAGGCGGCGGGCCGCTGAGTACCTCAGCACCCTATGGGCAAGCTACCCTGCAGGGAAGTGTCCACATGCTATACGAGACCGCCAAACTCAACGAGTTCGGCAAAGTCAAAGCTCCAGTCGACATAACAATCGACCCCAACTTCCCCATGAGGAGAATAGCGGGGTCAGAAGCGGTGCATGACACCGCATATGCTTGGTGGACAAGCGTGAGTGGGAAAGAATTCGTACACTGGTACGAACAGGCCGAAGCCACCTTCAAAAGCGGCAAGGTACATAGAACCCTTCGCGAAAAAGCGAAGGAAACCGAGAAATACTTCTTGGGACTCCCGAGTATTGCAAGACTCGCGGAGGAATATAATTCCCCAGAGAATAAGGGGAAAATCTCCTGGGAAAGTCTAGGCAAAGCTGCCTACTTAAAGTCCCAGTTCAAACCACTCAGGACTCCTGAGGAACGTGCCGCAAGAACTGCGGAACGGGAAGCGAAAGCTTCCAAATACTGGGAAAGAGACGCAAGTCTCCATGCTGGACAACCAGCCCAACGACCATCCTTCCCCACGGGAAGAACGGTAGACCTACCATACTCTACACCTGAGCCAAGCAGCTCAGGAACACAACAACCCGCTCCCACCCAGGGAGCACCCACTTCGTCGAGCCCACAGCCTGACAATGTAGCTCAGGCTACATCATCGCATCCGATGCAGCAATCGGATGTCCAGATGAACAACCCGGAGGAAAACCCTCCTCCGGGGCAATGAATCCACCCTTGAGAGAAGGGAAAGTGACACGGTAATACGCCATCGAGGCGCCCATGAAAACACCTTCCCCGAACTCGAGGCCCCGCACACAATACTGTATGCGAGGAACCACAAGTAACAATTGCGGAAATCTCCACTCCTGTCAGGGCATACACCCTGACCTAGCCCATACCGCATCCACACCCGCACTCGCACCCGCACCCGTGACTGCACCCAGCTGTTGCACTCCCCGCGCGCGCCCTGTGCCGGATGCTCAGTGCGGCTGGATGGCCCGGACCTCGGGTCTCGGGTCTCATGTGACTTCCGGATATCTCCGGAAGTTTTCGATGTATTGTGGCCACTGTGGGAAGATGAGAAGTTAACTTCCTTCTCATCTCTGACCCACAGTAGGCAAGTTGTATATACTTGCCTCTCTTTTATATATCATCTCTGACCCACAGTAGGTTGTGCCCTGGACAGGGCTGGTTACACCTGGGACTGTGGATCATAGGGGAGGGTCATGGGGACCCAGGAGTTGTCCCCTGACAACTCCGTCAAAAGACCCACATCCACCACCGCTCGTGTGTAAACACCACTTACACACGAACCCTCACAGAACAAGTGAGGAACACCAAAGACATACAACCTTTGGGTCGAAATCCATTTTCGACAAACCCCACCTTTTTTCCTTTCTTTCTTCTTCTCTCCCTGCGATACCAATGTATCGCCGTTCACTTCAAAGTAACGGCCCACACTCATTCATTCCTTAAACCCCCCTCTTTTCCTTTCACCGACATGTACAAAATCGCCCACTTTAAAGTGGTGACAACAAAAAACACTCATTGATAATTCCAAACTCAATGTAAATCAACTATTAAAACTCTGTTTCATTTACTATCAACCTTGTATGCGTCGCAAATGCAACGCAAGGGGGGAGAATGTCAGGGCAATAGCCCCGAACCCCGAGTCACATGTAAATTAGATACACATAGTCACGTGGGCAAGCGGGAACCTCCGGGGAACCGCTTACACACCACCGTAAAATACACTATCTTGTATCACTTACGGCCTTGTGTGCTGAGCCACCCTAAGACCTCACACTGAACCACCCTATGTACGTAAGGTCGATGAACCCAAGCCGCCACCTATAAGGACGGGAAGAAATGGGTCATCCAGGGTCCATTTCTTTAACACTGTCTGTGTTGTTCCTGGCAAGGAATGCTATGGCTAGATGCTGGGGTTTCTGTGCTCTTGGGTGGAGCAGTGCTTTGGGTGTCTGGACCTTAGAGGTCAATACTGTGCATACTAAGTGAAGATCATGTAGAAGATATGTAGCAGCATCAGAGCGATGAATTGCCATTGGAGCATGATACAGGAGAAGCTGATGGCAGTGCTTGTCATATCTGTACATACCCGATCCCAATCTGACTCCCGGACCCCCATCTTCACCACCTCCGGAGTCCTACCCTACCGCTGTCCATTCCGATATTCACCTTCGGACCTGACACCACACCTCCCCTCACCCCTCATGCCACCTCCACCCTCCTGTCCTTCTCCTACCCTATCTCTGTTCGCTCCGATACTCATCTTGGACTGAACATCACTCCTCTCACTCCTCCTCCTCCTCCTCACAACACCTCCACCCTTCCATCACCCTCCTACCCTTCTCCCGTCCGCTCCGATACTCACCTTCGGACCTGACACCTTTCCTCTACTCCACTCCTCTCCCTCCCTCTCTCTCCTCTCTCTTCCCTCTGGCCCTCTTCTGCCGACCCTCCACCAAGTTATGACCTTCCACCACTGTCCCATACCCTGTACCCGGGCACCGCTCGTACCTTCACTCCAAGATTCCATCATAGCTCCGACCTCAGACTTTGACTCCACCTTGGCATTAGTCCATTGCATTGGTGACCTCATACTACGTAAACACCATTGCCAATATTCCTCAGACTTCCAACCCCGCCTCCGTAAGCTCCACGACCTCCAAGCTCCATGGATCATCTTTGGCACTTTTGCCACTTGTAATGTATCTTTCGCATTTTCCCCTCATCCCTATTTGGACTGCTGCTTCTTCCCATTCTAGCCAGTTAGTCATCATCCCCACTTCACCTCACCCTCCTGCCCCTCTGGGCCTCGCCCTCCCTACCTCCTTTCAGATGTACCACAGGTTCTGCCCTATGACCTTCGGTACCGCTCCACTTCCACCATCCCTGTCATATCCATACAATCCCGACCTCCGCTCCGGGCTCCCGGAACTCTGAACTCTGACTTCCGGAGCCCTACTTCCCTTCCGTCACCTTCTCCTTGCCGACTCCCAAGAGGTTATCCCACCTCCGGCTCGGACACCACCTTCGGTCCGACTCCGGAACATTCCGGGTCCGACCCCAACCTCGACACCTTCCAGATGAGTATGCAAAACCTATGCTCCCGACTCCGGACCTCCGCTCCGGTATCCCGTTCATGTCTCGTCTCCGGAACCTCCGGTCTTAGCTCCGACCTCGGACTTTGACCCCACCTCCGCTTATACCCATTGTATTGGTTAGCCCATTCCATTTAATTACCTTTGCCAATATTCCGGAGTTTAACCTCCGAGTTCGGACTTTCCGGACTTACTCCGGACCTTGCAACTATTGCATTGTCCATTTCAATTCCGCTATTCTCCCTCATTCCTATTTGGGCTGCTGCTTCCTTTCTATTCAGTCAGCTAGCCATTCCCGACTCCCATCCTCCTTCCTTCCTTCTTGGGCCTTGGCCCTTCATTCCTCCCTTGGGAAACACCATTGAGTCAAACACTTGACCCTCGGTGTTGTTCCTCTTTCCATCTCCCTTTGTCTCCTTTTGTCCTACCCTTGTTCCTTTTGATTCTGGACCCCTCCTTATATACAATGTACCTAGTAACTTGTAACCTCAGTCCGAAATCGACCTGAAATGCCCCCAAGAGACTTTCCCTCTGCTAGATCTGAAATTAGGGACCCCTAGGACAACCAGCAATGGCACAGTGCTCCGCCTGAGTCGCTGAGGCCAAGGTCCTTCCACGCTAAGTCTCCGATTCCATTCCGGAGTCGTCCGAATCCGCAAGTTCTAACAATCCCTTTGTTCCCATTCGGATGCCTTCGTTCCGATTCAGACCCCCTTTGTTTCCCTTGTGCTTTCACCCCCTCCATTATATACCGGTGCTTGTACATACTCGTTTTAGTCCTTTAGTCTAAAATCGACCTGAAATGCCCCCTAGAGACTTCCTGCTCACTGCCTATGACATTAAGGACCAAATGGACAAACAGTAATGGCACAGTGCTCTGCTTGAGTCGCTGAGGCCAAGGTCCTGTCAGAGTCCGCACATCTATTCGCAGTGTAAGAGTATCCCCAGGAAACTAGTCAATATCAAAGCTGGGGGGCTAGCCCAGCTGGCATAGTAGCCTTATGTACATGAGTTCTGCTAACTCACGAGAGCGCAGTTACATTGGGAAGATGGTAACTGATAGAAGCATGACATCAAATAGGAAGATAGAAGATGCGGGAAATGAGGGAATATCGGGTAAGGGGTGATGTGATAGCGAATATAGTGCAATGAGTTATATCTGCATTCTAACTACGTAATTATCTCATGCAATCTTGGCTAATGATTACCTCACTGATATCGCTTAGAGTAAAGGGGGGCTGGATAACCGGGCATCCCCTGACAGGTCCCTCCTTGCTAAGTCTCCAGTTCCCCTCCGGAATCGTCCGCCCTTGCCCAGTTCTAACAGTGCTGAGGAACATCACCTAACTGTGAAAAGTGCTGGAAATATTGATCGCTCATGACCTCGCACTGCCACACTCGGCAAACCCCGGCATAGTACCGAGGTATGGTATTGGAAGATAAAGTCAAGGAGCCAATTGTCCCAAAAGGCACAAGTCTTCAGATACATTCAGATTCACAACTAATTTACATTTCATCACACATGCTCTGGCTCTGGACAAGGGATTATCCTTCATTATCTATCACATAATCAGCCAACCAGCCATCATCCCCAACGTGATCCGGCCACATTTGAGCAATTTCATCATCATAGGGTGATTCCTGAGGTATGACAATGCTGAGGAAGGTGTTAAATTCCTCCTCGATTCCTGCCATCTTAAGTATGCCATAGGTCTTAGACCCCGCACCTCGGGCAGAGATCAGGTACCGATTATATTGGTCCTTTTCCAGCTCTTTGGCTTGAACATCTGCCTCCAGCAGCTTCAAATGTTTCTTCTCCTTGGGATTTTGTTCTCTATGCTGGGATAGGCCATCCAAAGCATGCCGGTACTCTTCCTGCAAGCGTTTATATTGGAGAGGCTGGGAATGCTCTGGAGGGGTGTGCTTGATTAAACCCCCCCCTCGGTAGCAGGACTCGGTACCAAGCTCCATCAGCAGGGCAAGATAAGGAAGTGGGTCTTTGAAGTCACGGATGATCCCGGCAGGTCGCAGATTTCTTTGGGCACCAGTATCCCCTTCCTTTTTGTTCTTGACTTGAACAACGAGTCCCGACAGCTGGTCGCAATCAAAAATAGCTCCGGGTTCCACAGAGCCAAAATAAACCGGGCATAGGAAATCGATTGATGTTTGATTGAAGCAGCATTGCAAAATGGCCCCCCGAGCCCAGAGGTTAGCAAGCAATTTCCTGAGAAGCCTCGTCAGCAACCACATGAAGGGGCATGGAAAGAATAATTACCGAGAAGGCATTTGGGGTAAGAAGTTTCTTGTGGTGGTCCAGTGTGTGAAATTGACAAATGCATCACAGAAAGCGGTTTTGACGCTCCGATCACACCAGCCATTGCCGCCGAAAAGAGTCTGAAGAACATCCAGCAGGCGAACAGGTTTCAGGAAGTTACGATGTTTGCCATCAACTGGAGCCGCAAAGTCGCGCGCGGTGAGGAGAAGGAAACGGGCGGCAAGTTCACCCATAAGTCCCTTTTCGACCAAACCTGCATGGCACAAACCCTTGCTCAAAGTCTCCAGGACTGAACGTAATAGCCCGTTGGGCGCGTCGGGATGATACAAAATTCGTGCAGCACCCAAAGCCAGAATTGGTTCCGATGGCGAATGGGTGTAAAGTATTGCGTTATTAACCGAGAGACCTGTGAGAAGTCTCATGTGATGGGAGACACTCCGATCGGCTAACTCGGCAGCCTCAGCACTCGCTAGAACAAGATCGAGACAGAGCCGTTGTGAAAGCACGGCAAACACATGGAGCTTATTCCCGGCATGGAACCCTCTAACTTCAGCAGCGGTGAGCTTGTAAGCTGCAACGTTGATCAGTTCGTCGCCTGGCATGGGCAGCATTGCGCGCCACCTAGCAGAGGAGAGTGAGAGTGGGTGGTTATCCTTGGGAAAGGACATACAAAGGCCGCCCATATTGGCTGATATGCTCCATTGTTTCGAATTGGCCCATCTTGACGAGTGTGGGAGTTTTGGCCTGCTCCCTGGCATACTGATCAAAACCAAGAGCAAAAAAGGGGGGCTCCAGTCGTCGTTGTTCCTCTCTGAGTCTTGCGGAAACCACTGCGAAACAATAAGGTCCAGCCAGGTAACAATGTGAACACTCACTGTCTTGGGGACGGGGTGCAAAATACGTTATGCTTGATTTCGTCCCCATAAAGACATACCACATTCTCACGGAATCTTTTTGATTTTGCAATAAACGTAACATAATCCAGAAGCACATCCCCAACTCGTGAGCTTCATCGAAGTATGTGATGCATAGTGGATCAGAACCGCTGGCAAGAGTCTTGATGAACTCCATCAGGTCTTCAACAGCCTTCTTCGCGTCTTTCTCGTAATAGCTCCTGGCCAGCGTGATCGGGCCGTTCTTTCTGCCCTTTTTGCCCTTTTTGCCCTCCTTATTTCGTTTAAATCCATTACCGTCATCGAGCTTGGGACTATTCCCTGGTCCTACGCCATAACTTTTTTTTAGCTAAACCAATCGTCAATTTTAGCGGAGGACAAGAAGAGGAAATTTACTTGTTTCGTTCGTTCCATCACGCTTTCGAAGAACTTCACCCGAAAACCCCCCCCGCCCTCTCCCTCCATTCTGCGGTGCCAACTGCTGAGAACGTCTTTCCTTGCACAATTCCCCTCACCGAGAATGACTTTGAGCGAGGCTAACATAGTCTCATGTGCAGCTGCAAAGAAACTGGCGATACCCGCAACTGTGCTGATGCTCAGGTCATTGTTCCCGCACTGAGTCTTGAGCTCATTGAAATATTCGGACACGGGCTCGTCCGCTAACGGATAACCCGAACTACCCGGTGTACGAAGACATATAGGGAGGGTAAAGATTCGGGCACCGACCTAGAGCAAATATGATCATATTTCTTTTCAGGATCAGGGGACAAACACACCTCCGTCAGCATACGTGATTTTCCAGCCCCAGAGCTTTGGACTACGGAGATGGATTTAGCATAACGTGGTTTGTTGAGGTTGCCCTCCTCCCGGTCGATTTGGTCAAGATGCCTAATGAAAGAGCGAGGTGCACTACCAATAAAACGCCCATGGTATGCGGTAGCAAGATCTGACAACTAATCAAAACTCTGGAGAAGATTGTAATTCCCAGACTCACTTTTTTCAACCTCAAACCTGTAAACAGAGATACGTCAGTATGGAATGAGGCTAACGTTGAACAAACGTACTGATTGTAATCATAATAATTGATTTCCGGAGGTGCGAGTCGCAACTTCATATCCGCTGTACCATCAATTACTGAACAATCCGTGCCGAGAATACTGGTTGGTACGCACCATATCTGATCAAGGGGTCCCATTTATTCTGTCTGAGAGCATCTGTGATCAGAGCCACACACTTTGTGCGCTCAACATCGTCGAGGTTTTCCGCGATCGACTCCAGCTCGCTTGCTGAAACAACACTCACACCCGCCTCCTTCAGACCAGGACACAGAGAACACAGAACGCTACAAATGAGTTCAGTCCACGTATCATGGTTTGACTCGTCCTCCAGCTCAGCATCCTTTAGGAGACGCCTAAATGATGGATGAAACGGCCGGCTGAACTGATAGACCATGGTTATTTGCTCGCTACGCAGTATGGGGCGTCTATCACTCGATTCGGATGCATCATCCGATTCGGATGCGGACGGATATTGTACATCTTCCATCTCCTCGTCCCGAGGCATCGTTGGGCCTAGGCAGGATTCCTGCGTCTCTGACATGGTGGAAAACCCCAAGTGCGACAAATCAGTTCGGACAATCGGCTAAATCATAGTAGTCACATGTCCAACATGATGCTTCCGCTCAATTATGTAATGTCCTCATTTCAACGAGACTAATCATGATTAGTCAGCCGGCATTGTCCCGTTTGGAGGGAATGCATGTGGTCGCGTGATTCCCGCTACTCTGTAGCGGGTCTTGAAAGCGTGAACTGAATGCCCGTGCAAGAGGTCCTCTATTATTGCAAATTAGCAAATTACCTGGCTAACCCAGGGTCCATCACTTGTATTCCAAAATCAAGCTAAGTTCCCGCATTTGGTTTGTAAGTAGTTGCGCAACCTGGTGTCAAGGGCCCCTTCCGATCCACGTGCCCTTTCAACTCCCATCTCCATCTTTCACAGCTGCCACCATCACAATCGAACGCGTTTTGAAAAACCACGCTCTACACCCTCTCAGACTCGTTAACTGCCCTTCAACCTCGCGATAACCAACGGCTATGAACCGTAGCTCCAGACAGACACCAGGAAATGAACACAAACCCCCAATCGGGGCAGCCCTGACCCCGATCCCCCTGCTGGCAACAGACGACAGTCGCACCCACCTTCAATCAACATACAACGACGCATCCGATTGCGTTTGCAGAAAGGAGTTCTTCACCAATGTCTCCGAGCCCAGAAATCGCAGCCACCTTCTCCCTCGTCCCCCAACCCTCCGGCTGTCAACCTCGATCATAAACATACCGCCATCACATGGTACTCCGTCACGAAAGGTGCGTGCCTTATTGAAGGCAGCGTCATTCAATGTCCCTGTACCCAGCGAACTCTGTGGGACAGCTTACAAAATAGCCTGGAGTGTCGCGGACAAGGAAATCACGCCTATTGTCCAAGCAGCCATCCAAGTTGGCTACCACCCTGCTCCATTCCACGACTGCATAAACCTAATAAGGCAGACTACACTCACCCCCGCTCCTACAGACCTATACAGCTCCTAGAGGTCCATCGTTGCTATCCGGCTTTCATACTATGCCAGCCAACACGAACTCCTTCCGGTCACCCAATTCGGAGGAATGAGAGGGAGATCGATCTGCAGAAGACAACACCCTCTCAGCCATCCACGAGATGGAACTTACAGCTACTTCACTCGCTTTTGACATAACAGGTTTCTTTGATCTTGTCTCGCACCCACATCTGCTCAACACTTTGCCCGATAAAAATCCTACAGTCAGATGGGTGGCTTCAAGAGGTCCTGTATTATTGCAAATTCCCTTGCTATCCAGGGTCCTCATCTTGATTTGTAAGCCAACTTTCTGCATTTATTTTGTAACTCTTCTCGCTCTAAAAGCTCCCCTCCCCAATAACTTCCCCTGCCCTTCATGCCATGTTCCTTACCCATTCTCTCTTTCACAGCCTTATTCGACATTTCGCTAATGTCTGTGGCCAATGATGTCATCACCCATTGCACGGTCATTAGCAGTCGCGGAAAATGGAGTTTGACTCAGTGCCCACGAGGTTTTGAGCTGTGAAACAGATGAGCTTATGTGTGAGCCTCCTGTTCTTTCGCGCCAACTTGTGCTAATAAACATTGCATTGCTGGTTCGGGAGGTTGTGTACGATTCACAGACGGACTCATGCATGGATTTTTTGGGGGTTATGTTCCCTGGGCGCTTATGTTACTTGTGGATTGTCTACCAAAGTCCAAAAGCAAAGCGTAGTACCCTGCCCGTCAGTGTAGGTCCCAATCAGGGAGGGCCATAGTTCCTGGAAGCCGGGCGGATTCTTACCAATAATGCATGATAATGTCGCGCTCCCCAGGCTTGAGGCACTTTGAACACAGGCCATCTTGGGAAGGACGCACTGCAGTTTGAGTCTTTAAACAATCCTCATGAAGAAGGCATCCTGTTGCGCATTCAAACCCACCTCGAGTTAAACCAATCAGGGCCCGGCCCTGAACGGATTCGCTCACGCAGTCACCATGGATGACACTCAATTTTCATCCCCAACGCTACTCTTGTCGTTTCAAATCAAGCTGAGGGCCTTGGGAGTTGTCTTGTTGCAAATGCATGAATTCGCACGTACACGGGTAGAGCACTTGTTCAAGAGGAGATACCAATGTACCACAGCGCGCAGTGACATAAGTTTGGCTAACCGCCCCACTGCTGAAAGAGAAGAAAGGCCAGGGGAATTTTCAGGGCGATTTGGGACAGCACTGTAACTCACAATGCTGAATTCAATCTGGCCTTCCTCCATGGACGTCAGATGAGAGAACCGATAAGAGTAGCGGGTAATGCCGCAACAGGCGGCGTCCGTCAGTTATATGAGTGATGGGGTATGAATGTGGTCAAACGGCGGTAGCACTGCCACCGCGCTTTAGGCTGACCGCATGCAGGCCTTCCGCAGATCCCGCCGTTTGGCTCATTGAAAGATGTTCCCCATGGCAGATGGCCTGTATCAACTCACATGAGCAGGACTCAGGAGCAATATTGTGTTGGAGGAACCGTGTGCTATGGGAGGCCGGACGAGTTTTCGTACAGCCACATTCCCACACCCGAGCGAGGAACTCGCCCGGACAGCCACATTCCCGCGGTAGCGTGACTACTTGGTCACAACACCTTTTCTTCTTACTTATTTTGGTCACTTCGGACTTATCCGCGAAGTCCACAAACTATATTCATTCATTTGGATTAGTTTCCTTTTTCCCTCAGTTCTCGCGCATTAGCTTGAGACTGAGGTTAGTTACAATATTCTTTTACTCTGATTTCTTATACATTGTAACTCATTGTATATTACCTTATGTCACGGCCGTGCATTCCGGCCCGTTTGTTAAAAACCCGGGTTGTGGGAGAGGGGATAAATGCGTGAGTCCGAATGCAGGCGGGGCTCAACTAGAGGGGGGTCCGAGGGCTCCGGTAGGGAACCAAAGCGTCTCAGGGAGCCCGGTTCTGCTGGATGGTACAAGAGGCTCTAAGAAGGACGCGGCCTCAGCGACTCGGAGGGAGCGCTGTGCCTCCGTTATGTCTCAGTTAGTCCTTGTATTTCTTATGTCTGAGGTGTCTTGTAGAACAGGGACAGGATTCACTCAGAGGGACTTTGGGTGGCATTTTAGTCGAGATTAGAACTGAGGGACTACAGGTTCTAATCTACGTGTATTTATTAAAGGAGGATGGGGAGGACTTTAGTCAAAGCCCGAAATGACAAAATGGGGAAAACACCGAAAGGTACTGAATGATACTGAGAGGTACCGAAAGGTTCCGAATGATATCTAAAATGGGGAACCGAGGTGTCGGGCCAAGGAGGGCGGAGTTGGAGGCTGGAAAATGAATGGGGAAGACAAATGGGTAAAGGGGGGTTAGCCGACTGAATGGTAGTAAGAAGGTAGTCATGCTAAGAATGGGAGATGACTAATAAGTGATAACGTGAGGGAGATCACCGAAGGATGCAGGTAGCTCCGAAAGCGGAGTTGCATATCCGAAGGATGTTGGGTGACTCAAATAAATGAAATGGGTGGAGGAAGGGTTTAAGGGCATGTCACGGGATATCGGAGGTCCGTCGGGGTTCGGAGCAAATCCGGGGTCTCCGAATGTTCTGACTCGGGACCGAGGTTCCGGGATGGGAGTGGCCAAGGTTCGGTGTGCCGCAACCAGACCGGAGCTGAGACAGTCAGGAGGGAAGGTGACTTGGGGAGTGGGGAGGCACGGCGTAGGGGATGGTGAGGTTGTTAGGAAGGTGTGGTGTGGTGGGAGTGCGCGGGGTCGGGATTCCGGGATATGACACCGTTAGCCGCCCGTCCCGATGCCGCCCGAGCCCATTCCCACTATGCGAGCGTGAGCGCGAGCCCCAACCTCAGCCCTATCCTCCCTGAGGACTCCCTGCTCACTCCCCCACTTTCCCCTAAGGCTCCCCTGCACCTGGCCGACTCCCCACAGCCACACCAACCTTCCCACCCTGAGTCCGCCTCCGGCATCGTGCCCAGCGCGACTCCCCTACCCCACCCACTTGGCCCCTACAGGGCCACTATCATCCCCGCGCCCGACTCCGGCCCAACTCCGAGTCCAGCGCCGCTACGATACCATCGCCACTATCGCGGCCCTACGCTCTTTCCTTTATTTATCTGTTATTGTTTGTTTTGACCCTCGGTCATTGCCGGCCGCTATGCGGCCAACCCCGCTCCTTATCCTTGTTTGCTTCCGGACCCTTCGGCCTTCGGCCCGGGTCCGTGAAAGGTTTGCTTACTATTTTGGGGACGGTACGTTCCGTTCCCCCATTCGCCTCAGGCCTCAGGTAGTCCATCTAAATATAAGCTTTAATGTGCTGTATATTCAATGGGGTAGAGGTAAAAGGCTACCGGGCCTTTACAACTACTCCGAGGTATATATATGTAAATTACATATCTCGGCACAAATAAATAAAGAAATAACCACATCACTATAATGGGAATTATAGTGAAGTAAGGTTAATCCCTTACAGTCCGCTTCCATTCATTTCTTCCTCCTATATATATCCTGTATACTACATTATAGTTGTTATGGAAATGGGATTTTCCCATTTTTAGCCTCTTATGGGCTCTATGCAGTATAATATCACGTGACATGTAAATAATAACAACCTAACCAACAATTATCACCCAAAACACCCGATGTCCATGTTATTGTAAACCCCATTGTTACAACATCTGTTACATTAATTGTAACATCTTCTCAATGTCATGGCCCCCTCCTGCACCCGGACGCTATAGAAATGGGCCAATTAGGCCCCATTTTTATAACAATAGTACTTTAGCTCTAATATCGATGTGACCACGACCCCTAAGTCCTGACCCCAACAAAGCAACCCCAGTGAGTCCGAAATGAGGGCCAAGAGACAGCTAGGGGGCACAGCACTCCCTTTAGAGTTGCTGAGGCCAAATGCCCTACCCCCGGGCCTTGTTCGCGGCATCACAGCCATCACAGCCTATAGCGGCCTGCCTCGGCGACCCTCGGTGCCGACCCCGGACCAGTGTCTAACACCTTATAGCTTTAGCATTAGGTAATATTATAGTTCTCGTGCATTAGCTTGAGACTGAGCTTTAGCATTAGAGCAAGCGGTTATTCCGTTATATTGTGCGCACACAGAATATTTTTATCGAATCCCTGACATTCTCAGAATACAAATGTCGGCTTTGATCGTCACCTACCTAATTTCCCGGGTGCCACCTAGAACTTCTACCCAGGGCACTGAACACTCCAGGCAAGTCAAACAGGGAGCTGGGGTGGAAATCGGCTACTGGATGGTCCTGGATGGATGTGGCCCACATAATGGGCAGGGATGGGCAGAATGGCAAATACTTTATTTGGTGTTTGTGTCTACAATGTTGCAGTATACAGGGTGTATTGAACAGGGCAGGTGTCAGGGCACACACCCTGACTAGCCCGGACCCGGACCCGCGTCCGGACCCGCTTCCACCCGCCACGCTTCCCACACACGCACACGCTCCATGCGCCGCATGCTCCGGGCCCGGTTCCTACCCCTTCATGTGACTTCCGGGTATCCCCGGAAGTTTTGCTGATATTGTGGCCACTGTGGGAAGATGAGAAGTTAGCTTCCTTCTCATCTCCTTACCCACAGTAGGATTGTGCCCTGGATAGGGCTGGCCAGACCTGAGGCTGTGGGCCATAGGGGAGGGTCATGGGGACCCAGGAGTCATCCCCTGACAGCAGGAGAGGGTGAAACGGTGGGGATACAGGCAGCTACCTTTATCTTGATTAATTTGATGGATCGGATGCAATTTTGACCTAGCAGCCGCTAAGACAAGAGATCACCAGAATGTCCTCCCCCTTGTGGAATGCATCTTCTAGCACATTTGGCATGTCAATCCTCACCCTTCAGGCCGACTTTTCCAGTGGCCTCACCCTTTTGACAACGGCTCCCCCTGCCAATGAATTCCTCAGAGCTACAGAGGGTCCATTTGCGGAGTTGAAAGAGCTAGTTATGCAGCATACTTCAATTGCAAACAGACCACAATTTCAACCCCTCGGTCATTCATCTGTTCAGACAGTTGGTGTCAAAAACCCGGATTGTAGGGGTAAATGCGTGAGTCCGAATGCAGGCGGGGCTCAACTAGAGGGGGGTCCGAGAGCTCCGGTAGTGAACCGAAGCTTCTCAGGGGCCCAGTTCTGCTGGATGGTACAAGAGGCTCTAAGAAGGATGTGGCCTCAGCGACTCAGAGGGAGCGCTGTGCCTCCGTTACGTGTTAGATACTGATCCGGGGTCGGGCACTGAAGGTCGCCGATGCGGACCGCTAAGGGCCGCGATGGCCGCGATGCCTCAGACAAGGCCCGAGGGTAGGGCATTTGGCCTCAGCAACTCTAAAGGGAGTGCTGTGCCCCCTAGTTGTCTCTTGGCCCTCATTTCGAACTTACTGGGGCTGCCTTGTTGGGGTCAGGGCTTGGGGTCGTGGTCAAGTCGATATTAGAGCTAAGGTACTATAATGTAGTATACAGGATATATATATGAAGGTGAAATGAATAGAAGCGGACCCGGGCCGAAGGCCGAAGGGTCCGGAAGCAAATAGGAACAAAGAGCGGGGTTGGCCGCACCGCGGCCGGCAATGACCGAGGGTCAAAACAAACAATAACAGATAAATAAACGAAGGGGTGTAGGGCCGCGATAGCGGCGATGGTATCATAGCGGAGTAGGCGATGTCGCGGAGTCACGCTAGGTCGGTACCAGAGGCGGACTCGGGGCAGGGAGGTCGGTGTGGCTGTGGGGGAGTCGGCCAGGTGCAGGGGAGCCTAGGGGCAAGCAGGGAAGTGAGCAGGGGGTCCTCAGGGAGGATAGGGCTGAGGTCGGGGCTCGCGCTCACGCTCGCATAGCGGTAATGGGCTCGGGCGGCATCGGGATGGGCGGCTAACGGGCCGGAATGCACGGCCGTGACATTACGTCTCAGTTAGTCCTTGTATTTCTTATGTCTGAGGTATCTTGTAGAATGGGAACGGGATTCACTCAGAGGGACTTTGGGTGGCATTTTAGTCGAGATTAGAACTAAGGAACTACAGGTTCTAATCTATGGGTATTTATAAAGGGGAATGGGAAGGACTTAGTCAAAGTCCGAATGACAATGGGGCAACACTGAAAGGTGCCGAATGATACCGAGAGGTACCGAAAGGTCCCGAACGATATCTTAAGCGGGGAACCGAGGTGTCGGTCCAAGGAGGGCGGAGTTAGAGGCCGGAAAATGAATGGGAACGACAAATGGGTAAGGGGGGGTTAGCTGACTGAATGGTAGGAAGAAGGTAGTCGTGCTAAGAATGGAAGGTGACTAATAAGTGATAATGTGAGGGAGATCACCTGTTAGACACTGGTCCAGGGTCGGCACCGAGGGTCGCCGTTGCAGGCCGCTATAGGCCGCGATGGCCGTGATGCCGTGAACAAGGCCCGGGGGTAGGGCATTTGGCCTCAGCAACTCTAAAGGGAGTGCTGTGCCCCCTAGCTGTCTCTTGGCCCTCATTTCGGACTCACTGGGGTTGCCTTGTTGGGGTCAGGACTTAGGGTTTGTGGTCACATCGATATTAGAGCTAAAGTACTATAATGTAGTATACAGGATATATATAGGAGGAAGAAATGAATGGAAGCGGACCCAGGCCGAAGGCCAAAGGGTCCGGAAGCAAACAAGGATAAGGAGCGGGGTTGGCCACACAGCGGCCGGCAGTGACCAAGGGTCAAAACAAACAATAACAGATAAATAAACAAAGGAGTGTAGGGCCACGATGGCGGCGATGGTATTGTAGCGGCGCTAGACTCAGAGTTGGGCCGGAGTCGGGTGTGGGAATGGTAGTGGCCCTGTAGGGGCCAAGTGGGCAGGGTAGCGGAGTCGCACTCGGTGCAGTGCCAGAGGCGGACTCAGGGCAGGGAGGTTGGTGTGGCTGTGGGGGAGTCGGCCAGGTGCAGGGGAGCCTAGGGGAAAGCGGGGGAGTGAGCAGGGAGTCCTCAGGGAGGATAGGGCTGAGGTCGGGGCTTGCGCTCACGCTCGCATAGCGGTAACAGGCTCAGGCAGCATCGGGACGGGCGGCTAACGGGCCGGAATGCATGGCCATGACATCACCAAAGGATGCAGGTAGCTCCGAAAGTGGAGTTGCGTATCCGAAGGATGTTGGGTGACTCAAATAAATGAAATGGGTGGAGGAATGGTTTAAGGGCATGTCACAGGATGTCAGAGGTCCATCGGGATATCGGAGCAAATCTGGGGTCTCTGAATGTTCCGACTCAGGACTGAGCTTCCGGGATGGGAGTGGCCAAGGTTCGGTGTGCCGCAACCAGACCGGAGCTGAGACAGTCAGGAGGGAAGGTGACTTGGGGAGTGGGGAGGCATGGTGTAGGGGATGGTGAAGTTGTTAGGAAGGTGTGGTGTGGTGGGAGTGTGCAGGGTCGGGATTCCGGGATATGACAGTTGGCGAGATTCTAGAGAACGGACATGTCACAGATGATTTGAGCCTTGAAGGTACATTTGTACCTATTAAAAACACTTAGAAGCCACTGCACAGTTTTTTTGGAAGCTTGCATCGCAGGCTATGCCAAGAAAAGGGAGAGGTCACCCCAAGAAGTCATGAAATGTTTCCGATTACACAATCCTTCCATAGTGGGCCAAATGGCCTGGCAGGCATGGCTCAAGCTTCACTGTAAGTCTAGCTGTAATACTTGCAGCCCATATTTGGGACTAATTGTTGTTGATGAGTGACAATTTGATCTCGGAGCTGGACTAGAAGCGTGAAGCTCAGTCTCAGCTAATATGCATGAAGAACTAAGTTGTATTACCTAGAAGCATGAAGCTAAAGGTAATATACATATTGTAAGTTACAATAGTAAAGGGAATAGTAATAAAGGAATGTTATAACTAACCTCAGTCTCAGCTAATATGCGTGAAGAACTGAGGGAAAAGGAAATGAATTCAAATGAATCAATATATCCGTGGCCTGGCACGGGTTAGTCCGAAATAATATAAAAGAGGTCTTGTGACTAAGTAGTCACATGGTGGATTCTGGGCGAGTTGCTCTCCCAGAATGTTCCCACGCTAATGCAGGAATGTGGCTGTTCAGGTTAGCTCCGTTGGAGTACCCTCATAGCACATGGTTCCTCCAACAATTGTTTCCCAGCTGGATAGTCAAGAGGCTGCAAGGCTGCGTAAATCACACCAAGAAGCTGTTGAGAAGCACTACCCCGATTGCATGGCAGAGGCGAATGCATTTTATGAAAAAGTCCTGATACATTGTGGAGACATTGTTTTGTCAAAGGATGAAAGGGATGCTAAACCCAACGAAGGCCGTTGCAAGTATGCCGCTCAGGTACAGTGTGTTGGAGAATATAATATATCCCCAATAGTATAGAGTTTAACAGCCTATACCAGCATGGCTCAAGGGTGAGTAGTGTATGGGTGCATGCTAGAGGTCCTGGGTTTGATACCAGGCTTGTCCATGATTTTATGTCCTTGCCATGTGACCTGTATTTGAAACCATTTGAATTGGAGCTCCGGATGAGTCCAGTAGTTGCACCAGATACAATTTCGACACTGTGGACAGGATTCTAGGGACTACTAGATTTGGTTCAACTATGTCATATCCATACATACCCGATCCCGATCCATGGGGGTTGAGGTCAGGGAGCCTCTGGGTCCGAGGCCGGGCCCTGACACTCAGTCCGAAATCAACTTGATTCCCCCTAAGAGACTTTCCCCTGCTAGATCCAAAATTAGGGACCCCCAGGACAACCAGCAATGGCACAGCGCTCCGCCTGAGTCACTGAGGCCGAGGTCCTTCCACACTAAGTCTCCGATTCCATTCTGGAGTCATCTGAATCTGCATGATCTAACACTCATGGTCTTTATGAGACTGGATGGACATTAGAAGATCATTATAATTATCCACACCCATGTAGCATGAGGTTTAAGCTACTACAAACATGCCTAGAACCTGGCATAGGTGTAGGAAAATATAATATTCAAAGAATATATCCCTACAACAAGAAAATAGCACATAGACAGCAGAATAAGAGGGAACATTGGGAAAGAAATGTATATATCTCGGGAACCAGAGAACTTCTGACTGTAATCTTTTTACCATCTAAAAGTACTGTTTCTCAACTTTATCCACGATTTTGTTCCATTCTAAAAGCTTCAGAACTGACGGAGATATCGCTCAAACGGCGAAACACCTTATAATTCACATATATTTATTTGCTAATTCTTACAAAAAGTAATGTGACTCAAGGGAAATATATTGGTGCCCAGAAGTCTGGCGGACCGAATACCATATGGCAGAGTATCCCCCGGCGCGGAAGGACACTTTTTGATCGCATCAGAAGAGGAGAAAATGCTAAAAAAACCAGATCTTGTGTATTTTCCCATGATTCATCAAAACTTTTTGATTTTAAGCCCAAATAAATCGGAACAAAGGAATTATTGATGATCTGGATCTCGGATCATAAGCATAAAGTGATTCAGAAGTCCACGGAACTTTTAATCAATTGAAAAGGCTCTAGAATATTGGTAATGATGCAGCTTCACAAAAAGGGGTGAATTAGAGAACAGTCTAGAAAGTTCCTTTATAGCTGAGTCATTTCTAAAGATAAGCGTTCGTAATTAAGGTGGTGTAAAGCATAGCTTTAGCACTGCAGGGCCCCGCTAAGATCGGCCCAAAAGACAAAGAACTGAATTACTTATTGCTGAGTCATGTCCTAAGTCCATTATTAAGCTTACACAGCCCAAGCCCCTATATCATTCTAGAACTATCTATAATACAAATGTAGCACATGTAACTAGTGTGAGGTGTGGGAGTAGAGAGGCCTCTGAAGAGCATAAAAGGCCGCCGCTTCTGCCCCCTCTCAAACCTCAGGTAGAAATATAAGTTTAATTCTCCTCACCAGTGGTTGGTTCGTTTGCTCCAAAAGATAAAAGCAAATATTAGTTGTTAGCTAATATAAAACTAACACATCACTCTAAGCGTCAGTTAGGGTCAGTTAGACACAGCTGAACAAAAGTGTCATAGTGAGAATTAGTGAGAATTTGGTGGAGGGACTTCTTAATTGAATAATCTCTCAGTAATATTTGGTTATCACACCACAGGAGAAAAGTGAGTGATCCTGAACCTGCTAGATAACTAGCATGCACTCTAAGTGACAGAAAGAGCAGTTTGGTTACTCCTGTATTGAGTAACATTTATTGCGGAATTATTTTATTAGTAGTTTTCCTTCAGTAAATTATCAGGAAAATCATGTCCTACTGAAAAGTGGTTTATCTAGGTGTAATATTGACTAGAAATCATAGTAAAGTCAATATAGAATTTTATCCATAGACAATCTATACGTCCGGTGAGATCGTTGGGGGGTGTTTATTGTTGTTTAGACAGTGAACAATTATATATTTGGCAACCAAAACACGGTCAGTAAGCAAATCAGCACAAACTCTAATATTGTTATTGGACGTTGTAACAGGTCTATCGCCTAGACTCGAGACAGAGAGAAGGGGGAGGGTGGTAGTGTGCATGGGTGTGGTTCGTGAGGCCGGGTCTTGGTCCGTGGGCGCTACTGAGTCTGCAAAAACCTCAAACAAACACTCACCTACATCTCTCTTGGACGTCAAGGCTGAGTATTATGATGAGAGGGGTCTTAGACGTGAGCAACTCGCTCAATGGGGGCGTTAGAGCCGTGGATGGCGTCTTTGCCACTTGGATGCAACTTCTGCTTGTCCCTTCACGGGTCTATTCAATACTAACTTGTTATGTACAAGCTGTTATCTAGTTTATATATGTTTGAAATGGAATGAATGGCATGGGGGAATGTAAACGGGCCGTTAGGCAACCGTAAATGATGAATATCCAATTGGGAACAAAGAAACAATAAAAGAAATATGAATGAATGGGGAAAATGTGACAACAGGTCCGAAATGGGAATTGTGAAAATTAACTCCGCAACAGTGGGCCACAGCGCCCGCCTATCCTCTCGTCAGCAATCTCCTCGTCTCCAGCTTTCCAACGAGCCCCTATTCATCCCATTTGGTGCTGTACTTCTTGAGATGTGGCCATTGACAGGTGCTGTCAAGACCATGTGAGAGTATACTCTGTGCTGAACCATCCGGGTATGGGATTGCCATTCTGGGAAATGCTCCGGGGGTGAAGAAGGGTGGTAGAGCATCACTATCGGGTGAAAAAACGGCTGGGTTGTGAGTGTGGGTGTGGAGGTCTGGAGAGGGGGTGAAATTGGCGGCATGGTTGGGCGTGGGAATTTTGCTTGGGGTTGTCGGGAATGAGAGGGAAAATAAGGAAAAATATGGAGTGAGTGTATGGAGTGTTGGATAGTGATAGAATGAGTATCGGGAGCGTCAGCGGATATGTACTGCATGTTGGTGACCAAATTCCGCAGAATCCGACTTTTTGCGGTACACGGAGTTGTCCCCACAATGTAGGAAACTGGTTACATAAGGTGATCCAGCTCCACTCCTTCAGTAGTCCGGGTGTAGTGCCTGGCACTGAGGACCTTGCAGGGGGTGGATCAGGCATGCATACTGGCAGGCCCAATGTGGGACAGCTGTCCCTGGCCACTTAGACTGAAGTGGGAAAAGGTGTGTTGTTACTAAAGGAAAAGCTAAACTAAGTTAGGGTACTTGCCTGAAGTGGGAAAAGGGTTGCTTCTCCAGTTTCCACTTCAGCTGTGTTTATATACATGTACCCAGGGTCATGTGCAGAGTGCCACATCACTCTTGCACACAGCCACAGCCATCCAGGTGCCTCCATGGGAGGTCCTGGGGACGTTGCAAGCAGGGATCTGCTACTGTCACCAGAAAACAGAGGGTAGCACTCCAGCTCACTCCCCAAAAACTAGGGAAGAAAGAGAAAGGGGGCTGAAAGGGTGTTGTGGTAAGAACAGGTCCATATAATCAATGGGAGGGGGGATTTTGGGGAATTATATAACTCTGGTAACTCCTGCTTATCTTCTTTCCATGGTGGATTTCCCTAAAGGTCACAATAGCCCTTTACCAATCGTGTGGCCACTCACAGCACCCAAGTACATGGACTTCAAAAGTAGCAGGAGGGGGGGAAATCGCCTATTCCGTTTCAATTGCTACATACATATACCCATACAGCAAACATACAATTTGTGAAAAGAGTCCGAAATATATGGGTTTGGCTGAGCTAAGCCTCCACCAACAATGGTGGTAAGGTTCAGCTGCTGTTGGCTTAGAATAAAATTCCAAACAACAAAAGAAATTGAAAAGGAAAACACAAACTTCCTCATACCACTCCAAACACTGCGTCAAACCTCCGTCCCTTTATTCCATCTGACTCTCCTTATCCATAGCTTTCTAACAATACCAATTTTGTGAAATTTGGTGGAGATTTGACTGAGAATGGGAATTCTCAGATGCGGTATACATATCTTGATTATCCATGCACAGGGAAACTTGGTCCAAATAAAATGCCATAATTCCAAGACTCCTCCAATGACTTCTTCAGCATTTATATCATTTGACTAGCCCATATTTTCATTGAGACTAGCTTGCACGTGAGCATCCAAACAGTTCATATCGTCCCTGTCATATCCATCCATGGCCATCGTCTTCCACTACCTCCAACCCTTCCGGACTACCTCCACTCCTTCTTCACTAACCTCGGAGCTCCCATATTCCGCAATCACCTCTGCCTCCCTCGATGGTCACCACCCCCTCTTTTCAATATATTACCTATGCCTCCCTAAGTATGGAGCCCTGAAGGCCTCCGGACAGCTCCGATGTCCGCTGGCGCACTCCCGCCCCTGCTGGGCAATTCACTTGCTTGCCCTGCAAGTCTACCTTCAGGCCTATCCCTCCTTTCCATTTCTGGGTTATCGCCTGCCACTCCTGTTACAGGAATGGGTTCCGGGGAACCCAACCTGAACCGTTCTGCTCACAGACAGAGGTGGCTGCATAGCCATTGAAGGGAGAGCAGGAGATCCGAGGCCAGGTGGGCTAACGGTAACTTGGCACTCCGAGGAGCATACCGGCAGCGGGTGTGGTGGTCTGCTAACGGTGACTTGGCACTCCGAGGAGCGTACCAGCAGCAGGTATAGTGGGGGCTCCTTGAGGGAGCCACCTATCAGTCGGCTAGCGGTGACTTGGCACTCATGTGAGCGTACCGGTAGCATGGGTAGTTGGCACTCCTTGAGGGAGTAGCCCAGTGGTCGACTATCGGTTACTTGGCGCTCAGGGGAGTGTACCAGTAGTGGGATATGTTGGGACAGGCAAGTTGGTTGACCAGTGCACGGTAGTGAGTGACCGTGGGAATTTGAGCCCGCGGGTACGCGGCCAGGCATCCTGGGGCTGCCTGAGTCACTTCTCCCTCCCAAGAAGGGAGGAAGGGTTGTAGGACCCAGTAGGGTACTACAGGAAGGGTAGGAATGGGAGCTCAACCACCCAGTGGGGGGGTGGGAGCAGGAAGGGCGAGGTCCGGTGTCTGAGCACTCACTGGGCCATTGAGGTTTTCTCACAGATTGTAAGAATATCGATGTAGACATCGATATGGACCAAGTCAGATGTTACAGAGAAGGCTTACAGTGGTGGCACAATGGTGAGGCAGTTACAATCGCGGTACAAGGTTTTGTGGGTTATGTATTCAATCAGGAAAACCTCTTTCGGCATTTGCCTTTACATGTCATATGACTAGTTTATGTCTAATATAAAAGTTGTAATGGTCAAGGGAAGTCCCTTGAAATTCAACAATTCCCCCAGCCAGCACCAAAACCCAGTGGGAAAGCTTGGCATGGGGTTTGGGTAGAGAAATAGGGGAAAACAATAAGGAGGCATACCTGGTTCTACTTGCTTGTAACCATGGACCATAAGATTCTGGCCCATTCCTATAACAACTCCACTAACTCCATAACCTGACTCGTCGGTAATATTCAATTGGCTAATGTTTAACTCTGTTAGCTCCTGTCAGGGATCGCTCGTCAGTCCGAGTCGAATATTGCCCGAAAACCTAGTCGTAGACAAAGCTGAGGTTCCAACCCTCAGCGGCACATAGAGCTATATACACGAGTGACATCAATCAATCGGAAGAGATAGGATCAAAGGAACTAAACAATGATCCGATAGAAAACGAAGTGAATAGAGATGAAGGAACACTCGGATCAGGGGGCAGAGTCGGATCAGGAGAAGGTGAGGGATTTACGATATATGAGGGCCGATGCGGCTACATGCGGTGATATAGTCTTACGCGATATCGATAGGGTAACAGAGAACCGCTTACGCTATGTCCCCTGACAGCTCCGCTCTGCTTGGCCCCGCCATTCACGGGCCTGCCCTCGCTGTAACTATATATATACTTAACTTGTACATAGGTTGCACCTCAGTGATAAAATCGACTAGAGTTGATCCCCCTTTAGTTCTTGTTGCCAGTAAGTAAATTAGGGCACAGACATGTAACTTGGCACAGCGCTCCTGGTCTGAGTTGCTGAGGCCAAAGCCCTCTGCCACAGAGACAACTCCTTCATCTCGCTCTGGTCTCTGACATTCCCCCCCCCCCCCAATCACCTGGCACCAAGTTCATTTGGCGCCAGTACCCAATTCTGTTATCACCAATGGCAGGGATCATCACAGATGGCAATGTCAAGCAGTAATGACTTCACACCCCCTTCATCAGCATTCCCCAGTATTGCACAATGGCTAGGAATGCTTGAGGCCAATGCAGACTTCAATCCCAATCAACTATGCTTCACTCAATATGTCTCTGAGATCAATGAGCAGGGGTATCATTGCTTGGATGAGCTTCAGAATAAGGGGCTTTGTGAACTCGGTGTTGACATTCCCCCTGGTCTTTCAGAGAAATTGGGCCGTGCAATGCAACAGGAAGTTAGAAAATTTCTCGCAAATCTTGATGTCACACAAACCTTAGTGATTGTTCCTTTCATATTTTACTTCACATTACAGAAATAAAAAATACACATTTAATCTACAGGGTACCCTGAATCTCTAAACCACCCTTCTGCATCCTGAGATGTTATGGTACAGTAGATATCACACAAATGGGTTTCAATGATGGTGTCACTCTCATTATTCATCATCTCCTGCATCCATGTTCCGTGGCGATGCAACTTATGTTTAAATTTGGAGAATGATTCTTCAATCGGGTTGTAGTTGGGAGAGTATGGGGGAAGATATATCAGCTTACCCTGCTGAATGACATGCATGTTATCAATATACATGGAGCATAAAACAGTCAGCTGTCATATCCATCCATGGCCATCATCCTTCACTACCTCCGGTCCCTCCGGACTACCTCCGCTCCTTCTTCACCAACCTCGGAGCTCCCATATTCTGCAATCACCTCTGCTTCCCTCGATGGTCACCACCCCCTCTTTTCAATATATTACCTACACCTCCCTAAGTATGGAGCCCCGAAGGCTTCTGGACAGCTCTGACATCCACTAGCGCACTCCTGCCTCTGCTGGGCAATTCACTCACTTGCCCTGCAAGCCCACCTTCGGGCCTATCCCTCCTTTTCATTTCTGGGTTATCGCCTACCATTCCGCTAACCCCATAACCTGGCTTGTCGGTAATATTCAATCAGCTAATGTTTAACTCCGTTAGCTCCACTCTGCTTGGCCCTGCCATTTATGGGCCTGCCCTTGCTGTAACTATATATACTCAACTTGTACATAGGTTACACCTCAGTAATAAAATCGACTAGAGTTGACCCCCTTTTAGTTCTCATTGCCAGTAAGTAAATTAGGGCATGGACGTGTAACTTGGCACAGCGCTCCTGGCTTGAGTTGCTGAGGCCGAAGCCCTCCACCATGGAGACAATCCTTTGTCTCGATCCGGTCTCTGACATCAGCATACCATCTCTCAACCATATGCTTGATGGAGGGATGCTTGTGAATTGAACAATTGTCCATCACAATAACAGAGTTCTTGAGTGGGAATGGGTTCATTTCTCCTAACAATTTGCAAATGAAGCGATGAAACAGTCGCATATCATACAAGCCATTCCGTGCTTCAACATAGAGTGGGCCATCCAATGATAGCCCTGGGAGTACAGAGAACCTATGGATGGAGAAGCCAAGAGCATTAATACCTAAGCAATCCAGAATGATATGTGCACACCTTTTGCCTTTTAAGTGGCTTGAATGAACAGTGGCCCGGTACCCCTTCCATGCCCATCCTCTGATTCAGAGTGTTGTATGCTTGTCAACAGCACACACTTCTCTTCATTGCATTCCCAAGCTTTGCGTTGCAACTTAATGTTGAACAAGTTAGAATGCAACATGTCATATCCCGGAATCCCGACCCCGCGCACTCCCACCACATCACACCTTCCTAACAACTTCACCATCCCCTACACCATGCCTCCCCACTCTCCAAGTCACCTTCCCTCCTGACTGTCTCAGCTCCGGTCTGGTTGTGGCACACCGAACCTTGGCCACTCCCATCCCGGAACCTCGGTCCCGAGTCGGAACATTCGGAGATCCCGGATTTGCTCCGATACCCCGACGGACCTCCGATATCCCGTGACATGCCCTTGAACCCTTCCTCCACCCATTTCATTTATTTGAGTCACCTAACATCCTCCAGATATGCAACTCCGCTTTCGGAGCTACCCGCATCCTTCAGTGATCTCCCTCACGTTATCATTTATTAGTCACCTTCCATTCTTAGCACGACTACCTTTTTACTACCATCCAGTCGGCTAACCCCCTTTGTCCATTTGTCTTCCACATTCATTTTCCGGCCTTCAACTCCACCCTCCTTGGCCCAACACCTCGGTTCCCCATTCTAATATCGTTCGGGACCTTTCGTTACCTTTTGGTACCTCTCGGTATCATTCGGTACCTTTTGGTGTTTTCCCATTTGTCAGTTCGGACTTTGACTAGGTCCTCCCCGTCCCCCTTATAAATACCCGTAGATTAGAACCTGTAGTTCCTCAGTTCTAATCTCGACTAAAATGCCACCCAAAGTCCCTCTGAGTGATTCCCGTCCCCGTTCTACAAGACACCTCAGACATAAGAAATACAAGGACTAACTGAGACGTAATGGAGGCACAGCGCTCCCTCCGAGTCGCTGAGGCCGCGTCCTTCTTAGAGCCTCTTGTACCATCCAGCAGAACCGGGCTCCCTGAGAAGCTTCGGTTCACTACTGGAGCCCTCGGACCCCCCTCTAGTTGAGCCCCGCCTGCATTCGGACTCACGCATTTATCCCCTCTCCCACAACCCGGGTTTTTAACACAACACATAAATAACAGTTGGTTGTTCACACATACCTTCTTCATGGTATATCCCTCATGGGACAATGTCCTCCATATACAAGACTGGGAGACAACTTTGGTGTCATATCCATACATACCCAATCCTGATCTGACTCCCGGACCCTCCACTTCACCACCTCTGGAGTCCCACCCTACCTCCATCTGCTCCGATATCCACCTTCGGACCGAACATCACCCCTCCTCCTCACTCCTCACGTCACCTCCTCCCCTTCCATCCCTCTCCTACCCTACTTCTGTCCGCTCCAATATCCACCTTCGGACGTGACACCATTCCTCCTCTCATCACTCTCCTCCCTCCTCCCCTCTTCTGCCAAACCTCCACCAAGTTATGACCTTCCACTGCTGTCCCATACCTCATACTCAGACACTGCCCATGCCTTCACTCCGAGACTCCATCATGGTCCCGACCTCGGACTTTGACCCCACCTCAGCTTAAGTCCACTGCATTGGTGACCTCATTCCACATAAACACCATTGCCAACATTTCTCGGACTTTCAACCCTGCCTCTGCAACCTCCGTAAGCTCCACAACCTCCGAGCTCCATAGACCATACTTGGCACTTTCGCCGCTTGTAATGTATCTTTCGTGATTTCCCCTCATCCTTATTTGGACTACTGCTTCCTTCCATTCTAGCCAGTTAGTCATCATCCCCACTTCACCTCATCCTCCTGCCCCCCTGGGCTTTGCCCTCCCTATCTCCTTTTGGATGTACCACAGAGTCTAACCCATGACCTTCAGTACCGCTCCGCTTCTGTCATCCCTTTGTCTCTGTTTGGACACCTTTGTTCTGATTTGGACCCCCTTTGATTTCCTTGTGCTTTCGTCTCTCTACTATATACAGGCATGTCAGAGACCAGGTTCAAGACAAAGGAAAGTCTCCGTGGCAGAGGGCTTCAGCCTCAGTGACTTATGCCAAGAGCGCTGTGCCTAGTAACACGTCCGTGCCCTAACTTACTAACTGGCAACCAGAACTGAAGGGGGTTAACTCTAGTCGATTTTATTACTGAAGTGTAACCTATGTACAAGTTGGATATATATATGGTTACAGCGAAGATGGGTCCGCAAATGGCGGAGCTGAACGGAGCGGAGCTAACGGGGTTAAACATTAGCTGACTGAATATTACTGACGAGTCGGGTCATGGGGTTAACGGAAAGGCAGGCGATAACCCAGAAACGGAAAGGAGGGATAGGCCCGAAGGTGGGCTCTGCAGGGCAGGCGAGTGTATTGCCCAGCGGAGGCAGGAGTACGCTAGTGGACGTCAGAGCTGTCTGGAAGTCTTTGGGGCTCTGTACTTAGGGAGGCGTAGGTAATAAATTGAAAGGAGGGGGTGGTGACCATCGAGGGGTACCGAGGGGATTGCGGAATATGGGAGCTCCGAGGTTAGTGAAGAAGGAGCGGAGGTAGACTGGAGGGATCGGAGGGACCGGAAGTCGATGGCTGGGGATGGATATGACAGGCGCTTGTACATACTTGTTTTAGGCCCTCAGTCTAAAATCGACCAGAAATGCCCCCTAGAGACTTCCTGCTCATTGCTTCTGAAATTAAGGACCAAATGGACAAACAGCAATGGCACAGTGCTCTGCATGAGTCACTGAGGCCAAGGTCCCTCCTTGCTAAGTCTCTGGTTCCCCTCCGGAATCATCCACCCTCACCCAGTTCTAACATTTGGCATGCCATTCAATAAGCCTTCGCTGGAGCTTGTTAGAACAGGCGGAAACAGACGACTCCGGAGTGGAATCGGAGATGGACCTTGGCCTCAGTGACTCAAGCGGAGTGCTGTGCCATTGCTGTTTGTCCATTTGGTCCTTAATTTCACAGTAGGTGAGCAGGAAGTCTCTTGGGGGCATTTCAGGTCGATTTCGGACTAAGCCAAAACGAGTATGTACAAGCGCCGATATATATAATGGAAGGGGCAAAAGCACAAGGAGAACAAAGGGTAACCAAATCGGAACGAAGACGTCCGAACGGGAACAAAGGGTAGAAGAAGCGGAGCGGTACCGAAGGTCATAAGGCAGGACCTGTGATACATCCGAAAGGAGGTAGGGAGGGCGAGGCCCAGAGGGGCAGGAGGATGAGGGGAAGTGGGGATGATGACTAACTGGCTAGAATAGGAAGAAGCAGTAGTCCAAATAGGGGTGAGGGGAAAACGCGAGAAATACATTACAAGCGGCGAGAGGGCCGAAGGTGATCCGTGAAGCTCGGGGGTTGCGGAGCTTACGGAGGTTACGGAGGCGGGGTTGAAAGTCCGAGGGATATTGGCAATGGTGTTTACGTAGTATGAGGTCACCAATGCAATGGACTAAGACCGAGGTGGAGTCAAAGTCCGAGGTAGGGACTATGACGGAGGCTCGGAGTAAGGTACGAGCGGTGTCCGAGTGCGAAGTACGGAACAGCGGTGGAAGGTCGTAACTTGGCGGAAGGGTGGTGGAGGAGTAACAGAGGGAGGAGAGAGGTAAGGGAGAAGGAGTGGCGGAAAGGAGAGTAGTCAGGTCCGAAGGTGAGTATCGGAGCGGAGGACGGAAGCGTAGGAGGATGACGGGAGGGTGGAGGTGTTGTGAAGGGGGAGCGGAGTAGTAGGAGGGTGGCGAGAGGGGCGGTGTTTGGTCCGAGATGAGTATCGGAGCGGAAGGAGATAGGGTCAGAGAGGTAAGGAGGAGGTGTGTTGCCAG